CTAACATTTTTCCCCTCTTGCTTTCATCACTATTGCAATAGACCCTCTTACAATAATACTGCAATAGATCACCTGCGATTCCAAACATTATAGTAAAAGTGGCCAAGTGGTCAGCAATTTCTCAAATAAATAAAATTTCAAGTTCAACAGTAATATTGTCTTCAACACAACAAATTTTCACAACCCAAGAATAATCAAAATCAACTAAAGCAATTCTAACATAAAAATTGAATCTCCATCTCCTTGTCTATCACCAAGTTCCATCTACTGTAATAATCACACCACCACCAATAAAAATTTCTGCACCAAAACGAAATCGAAAGGGGAGAAAAACACAAGAAAACTGTACACCCCAGTTAACACTTGACAGATTAGCCTTGCTTGTTCTTGCCACCATTTTTAAAAGCTTCCGACAAAATTTTCTCATAGCCAAACCAACATGTACTTGAGTTTTAAAATATGAACTGCTAAACAGGTATGACATCTATCTTCGAAGAGTCCTCACATCTTAATACAATGCCTTCGAGACTGGCCGGAAGAATGCATTTAATCCACTGACATCCAGTTGAAAATGGTTCTGGTGGAGGAACAATCATCAGAACATTATCGTTCCGCTGCACAACTCCCATCACGCTGACAGTGCTACCTTCTTTGATGCACCTAAACATAATTTATCATGAGAGTGAAAAAGTGATCATCAACTACATTGTTCCGTTGAAAACTAAATTTAAATAAATTAATGCGTGCCCTCTAACAAATTGAGGTTTTAGATGATGAAATTCAAGGTAACTTCAGAACAAGCAAAAATCATGAGTTCAAGTCTAGCCGCCATCCTTTATGAAAACCATCCACATTCCAGCCTTTGATGAAAAATAAATCCTGCCAGTACGTAAGAGACGGTGAAAACTTAAGTTAAACATATAAAAATGTCCCCACAACTTAATCTTTTAGATGATGTAGTACAACACATTCTTGTCATGCTACCCACACGTGAGAACTCCACAACTCAAGCCGTTCCAACTTTTGCCTCTTTCGTTCTTAACAGTAATTAAGCTTTCACCTCAGACTATCAAGTAACAACGAGAAAAAGGGCAACAATAAGCATCATTAATAAAATAAAACAATCTTACCCTTCTTTCAATCTCATTACACGGTCATCACTTGAAAGGTTCCTTTCTCCCATCCATCTGATGAACTCGGAAGACATATCCTTATTTGCAGGATTAATGTCAACAATGACAGATTCGTCAACATAAGGAGTCACTCTTGCACCATAGCCAGTTTTAACCAATGCCCTCAAACCAGATTGGAAGTCAGAAATATAGAAATCAACCACATGCCTCTGCAATCAGATAAAGAATATTAATTACTAGTTGTATATTACTGCCTGAGCTACTCCATCCCATAAAATTGCGTGTGCGCATGAAAGAGAGAGAGAGGGAAAAAAAATTATCATTTACTACGAAGAATTTTGTACTTGATCTGTAACGAAATGACCCTATATTTCTC